CCCCAAAACCCCAAAACCCCAAAACCCCAAAACCCCGAGATTAAAAAAATAAAAGAAGTTAGTAAAAAAATATATATTAAAGAGTTTGTGTTTAAATGGAAATAAATAAATATTGAGCAGTTAATATTATAAGAATTTGAAATTTAAAAGACTATGAATACTCCTTTTAGCAATATTATTGCAGTCTGCAAGTTAAAAATCAAGACAAGAGATAAGTAAACCAAGTCTCGTTCTAAGCTTTAAGCGAATGCATTGGCATAGTCACTTGATCAAGCAACTAATGACGAATAGGTATGAATATAACAATGGAACTAACCAGAATTAATACTTTGATAGGAAGATGATATTGATTTGAAATACCTTAATTTCATCGACTTAGATCAGATTTCACTCAGCTATCAAGAACTGAAGTTAATAGATAAATTTTACATTAGAAAGAACTTTGCCCTTGCTCTGACCAAGAAAAAAGAGCCTATTTATTGGGGATAGTTAGTTGAGACTAAAGATTAGACAGTAGTAGGATAAGCAAACAGTGCCTCGGAATAATAAATTTACAACTAAGATCAATAATTTATTGATGTATTGTCTGAGTCTGAAAAACAAAATGAAAATTAGCAACTCTATGATGAGTAAAAGAAGAGTCTACTTTCCAAGAGAATATCATGTAAGTACTATTTAACTAAGTTAATATCATCCAATTAATTTGCAAATAAAATTTTTATACTGAACCTTATAGTTTTTAAGAGCATAAAGATTATTGATATCTGTTGTAATGACTTTGCAGCGCATTTTTTATCGGAAGATGGCATGCTGTACTCTATGGGCAAAGATTAGAAAAAATATGGAATTCTTGGGCTTGGCTCTGTGTATGAGATTACTCAGCCTCATCCCAATAATAATCTCATAGATTTTAGAATCTCTAAAATATCTATGGGACTCTCACATTGCTGTGCTCTGACTACAGGTGGCTAGTTATATACTTGGGGTACTGGTCAGAATGGATAACTTTGCCATTAAGATGACACAATATTTTCAAATGTGCCCAAGCTTGTTTAAAATTCTAAGCAAATGAACATCTCTCAGGTCTATTGCTCTAGTTATTACACCCTAGTCATTAATAACAAAGGTTAGTTGCAAATGTTTGGAACACTGAAGGGCTTCGCAAAATTTTTATTTGATTCTCCCTCTCGTGAGAAAAGTAGGTCTGACCTAACACTAGAAAATAATAAAGGGTAGAGTAGTTCAAGAACTAGTGACTAAATCTAGAAGAAATTCATATTGGATTTAGGGAATGAGGTCATCACAAAAGTTTGCATAGCTGAAAAGTCATTTATTGCCTATTGCTAAGAAAGCCATAACATGTATTTTGTAAATGATAGATTTGAAGCAGAGCTGATACTCAGAAGAGATCTTAAGAGCTTTTAGTTCCTTAATGGATAGAGATTTATTGTGGCTTAAGATACTAGTAAGATCTATTATTGATTTATAAACTTATAGACAACATACTCATTATAATGAGTCAGGAAGATTTCACTCAAGGTTAGTTTAACTAGCAATACTATCGCAGATCTGATAGTTTCAAAGAAAAGTGGCAGGTTGTTAAGGAATTCAATTTGATTTAGAGATTTAACACCTAAGATGTAGAGATGCTCCCCTAAGATACCAGTATAACAACTAAGAAGGCATAGTAACTATAGCTTCTAGCATTTATTACCTAGACTACGCATAGCAAACAATTGTTTAACACTTTTAATAAGCGTTATTACAAATCTTTCTTGACTAAGAAAATGACATAGCTTAACTAGAACATCATTCAGAACAGCACTAATATGAACAATTAGCAAAATCCATATAGTATGACCAATGATGTGGAAAGTTCTATGCTGAGCGAATCAAAGAATAATTTTACAAATTAGTTCAAGAAAAACAATTGCCAGTCACCGTATTCAAGTATTGGGAATTCAGATTTCCAAACATGCAAGACAAGGAATAAACTCAAGTAAAAAATAGATTCTATTTTTGGTGCTACATTTTCAGCTAGAAAAGGTAGGAGTACATCTACATCTATAAAGGAGAGAGCTAAAAAGCTTCATCAAAGCCTATCTCCGATTCAAAGATTCCCAATAATAAACAATCTGTGTGAGATAATAAAGTAATAAAAACTTAATAATAATCAAGGTGCATCAAGAAGCCCTCCTAAGTATGGATAGAGCATCATTAATTAGTCTATTAATGATACACCTTTCACTCTTGATAATATGAATAGAAATTACCAGGAGTAAATCAAGTCTCCTTAGTATAACTTACTTCTTCAATCTCTTAATATCGCTTGCCAACTTACTAATTTGGGCAACATGCAAAATGATGCCACTCCATAATCCACAAAATAGCTTCAATTTCTCTCTAAAGCAGACAGAATTAGATAGGAGTTAAACAAAAAGGCAACAAACTTCTAATAGCATCAGAATAATATTTCTAAGCAGTAAACTACAGCTTAAGGTGATTCAGCGAAATATTCAGCTCAAACTACGAGTTCAAATATTCATGGAGGAGGTGATATGATAGAAATAGCTTCTCCTGAGATGAGTAGAAATGAAAAGCAAATCAGTGTCTTGAATCTGCCTCTATAAATTGAGTAGGTCAAACCTGAAGCACAACCGACTAAATATGATGATATGCCTTTGCAAGCACCCTTAAGTAGCCATAAATAACAGAACCATTAAAGGTAATTAACACAAAACTTATCTTGTATTATGGAAGATAGAGAAAACTCAACAATAGTTTAGACCTAGCAAACTTATGATAGAGATATTATAAAGTCCCATAAGAGTGGTCAAAAGATCAAGTAAAACAATAGGTAGCCATCTTATAACATTCCAAACTATCCACATAAATTACTCAATTCGTAGATAAATTAGAAGAATGATATGAATCAAATATTGAATATCGATACAATAAGTGAGATATCAGGCTTAGGAAGGGACTCAATGCATCGTTTTAGTCAAGCGAGTGATGTTACTAACACCAATAACTATAAAATCCTAGTAATGAATGCTAGGAATGTTATTGAGAAAAAAATCTTGCAGCATCTAATGGTAGGATTTATGGCTATCAAGTATCATCAGACGAATTCACTACAGTCTTTTCAACTTCAATCCACTATTAACTACTCCTAAAATCTATGCTAGTCTTTACAGTTCATTGATAATGATAGAATCGAGTAAGGATTCGAAGTACTTGCCAATCTAAAGAATAAATTAGAAGATTATTAGAGATAACAATCTATTAAATTAATCAAAAACTATGTAGTAGAGATAAGCGAGAAGAAGAGAAGTATTAAAAAGCTAGCTCAAATTCTAAAACAAAAAGAGGAATAAATCCTAATAGATGTAATGAGGAAAATACAGCTGTCTATTAGATTCAAGAAATTACAAAGACTTAACATAAATCTCCTATTTAACTCCTTCAATAAACTTCTGAAAAGGCAACAAAAATAAGATGCTATGTTTAGTTTCAGAAATATCTATGAATTTTCATCACTTCAAAGATAAATTGAATCAGTAGGCAGATTTAACAGCATTATCAATACTCATCTCATTAAGATAGCTCTTCAGAAATTTAATGATCATACTGATTTGTGCAATAAATATATGAAAGGCTTAAAGCTCATTAAGAAGACCCATTCATAAATTTAGTTCCGTAAAAATCTTAACCAGAAATCTCAAGCGCTCTATAACTTTAAGAAAAACGTAATAAATTTCTAGATATCTCGAACAGAAAAAATAGCTAAGATATTTAGGAAGTAGTACTCTAAGAAATACTTCAAGCTTTGGCTTTATATACTTTAGAAAAGAAAGGCTGCAATACAATAAGCTATATTCTTGAAGATGTTTATTATTGATAAGATCAAGCAAGCCCAGTATTATGCAATAGTAAAGATGATAAACTACAGTAATTTGCACTCAATGAGTCAAACTAAGAAATCCTAGCAAAGCAAAGCCACTTTGATAGATACAAGCAGCAGTTAGAATATCTCGAGCAACTAGAACTACAATACTCTAAATGCCAATGTAAATATGATTGAGGTCATTCAGGAACCTATATTTGAAGACATAACGCCATAGTAAGTTATTAAGAAGTTGGAATTCGTGGAGAAATCTATCTAGAATGATGATCTAAATTTGCTGTCAAATAGTATTAACAATGATGAGCTTGATATTGAAGACACTTAGCTAGACGATGGAGACTGCTACTACTAGAAATAAATACTTCAGAAGTAAAATACAATCATCTCGCAAAAGTCAAGAGACCTACCATTGAAAAAGACAAGCGGCAAAGAGTTTTCATTTGAGAAGAATGAAAATCTCCCCACAGATATGAACTACTTTTAAGACAATAATATCACTGCTCACTTCAATAAATTCAATCTTATGTCTAGAGGGAAAGACTCCTCACATATTTTATCAAGCAACTCTGGGCTAAAAGAAAAATCAAGGCCACATTATCACTGTCACTATGCTAATGGAGAAAAAGTAGCTCCAGAGGCTTTTACTCTTGACCCCTCAGCGTCATGCAGACATAGCACATCAGTAATCTACAGAAAGAGAGAAAATAGTGCATCTGATCAGCAATATTTAAGAAAAAGCTCGATAAACTTAAAGATCTCAATCCCCACAGCTGCTTCATTAGCACATGAGTCTGGTATAAGAGATCTGAGAGCTTCTGATGGTTAGCACTCTAAAATGAAAATGAGCATCTAAGATGAAATATCTCCAACAAATAATGTCAAAAATTACTAAAGATAGACACAGCTTAATAAAAATTATGAATAGTCAGACCCATTTGAGTTGCCTCAAAATGATAATGAATTAGATTTCCCTAAATTTCAAAGTCAACTCTACTAAAATGATTATGCTTAGTTCATTGATAGATACTTCGAGTAGCCCTCAAACATAGCAGATGATGGATTGATAAAGGATGAGCCACCAGCTGTTTAATAGTTTGATCCAAGATATTCCTTCAAAAACGTACTCCCATTCAACCCAACTGAGGACACTCCTCCAGATAAGTATCTTAGATAGCAGCAAATAAATCTTCACAACTAATAGAATTCCTTGAATACTAACTCCTTGGCACTCAAGAATTCTAACTAGTAGGTATTTGAAAGCAAAAAGGGTTCAAATGCCTCAAGTAACATGAATAATCAAAGTGCAGCAAACAGTTAAAAGGGCACATTCATTAACAATTATTTCTAGAAGCTGCAAGCTTAAAACTCAGCCAAAAATGAGGCTAAGAAAATGAGTAATAACCCCGCAGTTTACTAACTTAACAACTAAAACTTGCAGCAGTCTAACTGTAAAAACAAGGAAAATACTCTTTATTAGTAAAACTATACTTTGCAGCCATCCACCCAGTAATAGATGATACAGAATTAGTAACCTCCATAGACATCTTCTCAGACTTCATAGCCTTTGACCCAAGCATCTTTCGTCACTAATAACAATAATATAGACGTGATGCATTTCCATTCACACTCAGACACTTCCTTTGTCTTCTTTGATGGTAAGAATTCCTAGGATTTTATGATTTCTAGATAACTTTTGGAGGGACAGTGGGATTAGCTCGGCATCAAGAATGACTAATATGGGTAAATTAGGGCCTTTAGTTAACTAGTCTTTTGGCCAGAACCTTAGTGCGCAGCAGTAGTAGTTATTGATGAATAATTTCATGAGATAGAGTGTGTAGCCCTAGAACTTGCAATTCTAAAAGACTTTCAATAATAATAACCACAACAATATGAATAGATGAATAAGTGCTAAGACTTTAATGACGATACATACTCTATCTAATTAAATATAATGAATGATTATTTGATTGATTAATAGCCAATAACTTTAATTCATTTATACATGCTTTATCCTTAAAGAGTTAAATTAAGACAATCAATCAAAATAAGTGAGAGTGTATGAATTAAATTAGCCTTGAATTTTCACTGCTTTAGCCTCTTGACTATTCTATTGCCAACTTCCTCTGTATTTTGTTAACCAAATCTTTCAAGTCTTTTCCTTCTTTTTTCCTCCTCTTCGTTACTAGATCCTCCAGCTGGGTTTCCGAATCTAATAGCTCTCTCTTATCTCTTAAGCTCTTACTCACTCTTGCTAAGTTGGTTTACAGCTGCATTAGCACCTTGCCCTCCGAGTCCGAACTTCAAAGCCCTTTCTTATCTCTTGAGATCTTCAACCTCTTTTGTAACTATGCCGAACTTCTAAGCTCTTTGCAACTTCTTTTCCCTTTCCTCTTGAAGTTTTTGCAAAGCATCTACAGTAGTCACATTTGGATTAGATCCAAGAAGAGTAAATCTCTGCTTTCTTAACTCCTTTTTCTCTTTAAGTGAAAGATCTGCAGTAGAGTCAATTCTAATTTCACCATGGCCTTATTATCCTTTGGCTGAATCAGAGGCAAGGTTAACTACTCTCTAAACAACTTGAACTTGGCCACTATTAGATGAATCTAGGTTCGAAATCACTCTTTAGGCTGAACTGGCTTAGGTTGTCTATAATTAAAATTGGAATAAACATTTGAAGTTAGGTACTGTTTATGCTGGAGCTTGAGATTATTGCTGAATCAAATTCTAGGCTTATACAGGCTGCTGCTATTACACTTATTCCTATACTAAGGGCTATTAAACTGGAGGTTGAGATTCTGTTTAAGGTACTTCTAGATATTCATCCTCATCGGCTTGACCTAAAAATCAAATTTGAGTATGAAATTATAAGCAATAGTTACCTTTAGCTCCTTTTTTAGCTCCCTTCTTTTTAGGTGGCATTTTAAATTTACAAATTAATTCTCAAAGAAATTATTATATTCTCTACATCCCCACTATTTCAGCAAGAAATTTCACACGGGGTTTTGGGGTTTTGGGGTTTTGGGG